TCGAACGTTTGTACGAGTTTTCGCTGTTCTCATGTTTGAGCTCGGCTTTCAGTTGTTCTCTTTCTATTTGCTCGTAATATTTAGCTTCTTCAGCTCTTCTCCGCGATTCTTTTTCAATCCTTGTTTGCCTTCGTTTCTCCTCCAAATCCTTCATCTTCCTTTCTTCTTCCTCTTCTTCCTGCCTTTTCCGCTCCTCTTCTTCCTCTTGCTCTTCCCTTCGCTTTCGTTCCTCCTCTTCATGCTTCTTTCTCCGTTCTTCCTGTTGCTGCTCTATCCTTCTCCTTTCCTCTTCTTGTTCTCGAGCAACTCTTCGCCGTTCCTCCTCCAACCATTTCTTTCGTTCTTCTTCCTCTTCTCGTTTTTTCTGCTCTTCTTCCAGTCTCTTCCTTCTCTGCTCCTCTTCTGCTAATCGCTTCTTCTCTTCCTCCAACTTCTGCCGCTGTCTTTCTTTTTCCTCCTCAAGTTTACGAATCTCTTCTTGCTTCTGTATCTCCAGTTCAGCTAACATTTTCTCTTGTCTTTCCCTTTCTCTTTTCGCCTCAATCAACTTCCTTCTCTGCTCTTCCAGCGCTCGCATTCGCCTTCTTTGCGCTCGAGCTGCCTCGATCCTGGCTTGCTCAATCGCTTGTTCCTTCATAATTCTCTCGATTTCTTCTTTCTTCTGCTGTTTCACACGCTCTCGTTCTTCCCTGAGTTGTTGAATTTTCCGTTGTTCCCATTCAATCGTCCGCGCCAATTCCTGCTCTTCTTTTTCCTTTTGCGCAATTTCGTGGTTAGGTTCTTCTGTGGCAATGACTTCCCGCGCGTGTTGCGTAATGTTTTCTCGAATTCGATGCTCGCTTGATTCGTCAATGTTCTAAATAGAAAAGGTTATAAGTTTAACGAAAATAATAAAATTCAAAAATAAGAAATTTCTCCATGTCAACGTCGAGAGTAGTTTTGATAAAACTAATATTGAAGAAAGAGAAAATTTAGCTATCATTTTATTGATTTTGCTTCAATTTATTTTAATCAAAGCGCTACTTATTACATCGCAGAAAAAGGCGATTTGCTGGATTGAAACTCCAGCCAGTATTGAGAAGATAACAAGACCTAACTTATGATATATTGTCATGTTTCATGATTTCCAAGATGATTTAGTACTAATGTCTGATACAATCTTTTCCTTACTTCCCCGTTTAGGCAATAAATTCGCTAAAGAATGTTGAATGTTGGTATGTACACAAACATTTGCTTCCCAAAGCGAATATTTTGTGAATTTCGAACTCAGAGCAGTTAAAGGCAATGTGCTCTACCTCTACATGCTTTCTGTCTAGTACAGTAAGCAATAAAATTTTGTCAAATCAGTAGATATCTGCAAAAACCAAAACTCGTCACACATAACAGCGTGTGGGACGCTAGAGAGAAAACCGCAATTGCAAGTCACTGAAATTTTATTTGGAATAGAAACAATCGCAAACAGTGAGTAAACAAATATTGAGTCTGGTTTGGGTATTTTTCAGTTTTAGCGAAAGTTGAGTAGTATCGAACAGTCAAAAATTGAACAAAATAAATTGAAAATCGGGTTATCACAATGCATCAAGGGCGGCTTAAGGAGATATCTAAGGAGAAAAGATTTGCAATATGCTTGTTAACATAAGTTGAGACTGAAAGAAGTTTGAAGTATAGCTCTCAAT